TCTCCTATAGTGTTTTAGGGACTACAGACATGACAGTTCTCAGAGGTTATATTTCCACTTTTTTTTTGTAAGTTTATTTGTTTTGAGAGAGAGAGAGAGAGAGAGAGAGAGAGAGAGAAACCCAAGGAGGCTCCATGCTGACAGTCCGGAGCCTCACGTGGGGCTTGAACCCACAAACCCTAAGATCATGACATGAGCCGAAACCAAGAGTTGGACGCTTAACCAACTGAGCCACCCGGGTGCCTCTCTACACTTTGGTTTGTTGTTAAGGTTATCTATAGGGTTCATATTTTTACTGTATTAGAGGTTAGTTAACACACAAGATCAAAATTCAGCAAAAAGCTTTGATAATAAAATAATAGTTAATGCATATATAATGCTTATGAATTTGTGGGCTCTGCTATGAATGCCTTATGTTTAATCCTCAATATCATTTTATAGTTAGGTACCCAATTTTACAGATGAGAAAAGAGGCACAGAGGGGCTAAGTAATTTATCCAAGATCACACAGCTAATAAACGGTAGAGCTGGGATTCAAACACCAAATGCCTAGCTCCAGAATCCCATGCTCCTAAGTACTGCGTGTTGTCTTTCTAGATAGTGTGAGATAAATATGCCCCATGAACTAAGTAGAAAGCCATGAACCATCAGGAATTTATCCTCTGATACAAATTTTCTGTTAATCTGCCATCTTGAGAGAGAACAGTTTATGAGTAATACATTTTTTGTATTTTACAGGTGAAATTATTATAGATCATTTACTTCTTCCTTTATAAATTATTTTTCCCATTTTAAAGGTTTAAAGGCGCCCCTAACATATTTTTAAGAGTCCTATGTGCTACCTGTGGAATACAAAGATGAGAAATTCAAATCTGAATTGCTTGTAACCATTGCTAATCCTTAACGTACATATTAGTAAATGCCTTGTGCCTGATGAATAGCCGCAAAACTCAGCATCTTAACACAGAGGCCCGGAGTTCTCAGGGACCTATAGGCTGGTTGAGGTGGCTCTGCTTCATGCTGTAAGTTGCCAGAACCAGAGAGAGGGATGGTTGGGCCTTTTTCTAATGGTGATGGCAGTTATAAGAAGTGAGACAGATCTCATATGAGCTGTCATGGAAAGATCCTGCATTCACTTCATTAAGTTAGAAGAGCAAGTTACAGAACAATATGCACACTGTTGCCTATGTATGCCTAAAAACGCTATCTTCTTATGGCACATCTATGTATGAAAAAGCCTCAAATCCGTTTTAAAATGACACACATCAGACTGTTCATTGTGGTTACTTTTGAAAAGGGGGTTGAATTTTGGGGGAATGTTATGGGGGGGAGACTCTGATTGACCTGTGTTAGAATTTTTTATAACAAGAATATATAAACTACTATTAGCTTTGCCATTAAAATGTTTAAATGAGGCTAACAACAGAAATACCAGTTGCACGACTCAGATGAAGTTATTGCTAACTGATGCAATAGAGGAAACCTGAAAGCTGAATGGCTTAATGCAATCAGCACTTATTTCTTGCGTACATACTACCTGATGGGGGTTGGCAAGAGACTCACTGCTATGAGGCGACCCAGAGATCCAGGCTGTATCCATCACGTGGCTCCACATGTCAACACGGGCTCCCCAGGATTGCTGCTGAATGGAAGAGAGAGCCTGGAGGTGGCATACTGGCTCTAATGTGCTTTGGCCTGGAGGTGATAAACATGCTTCTGCTCATAGGTCAGTGGTAGGGGTTAGTCACATGACCCTCCCAACTATGAGTGGGATGGCAATTGATGGCTTCTGCATTGTAGGTACTCAATCAGGAGCAACTGTTGCAATTGGTTATAACAACAACCTTCTTCCCTTTTTCAAAAATGTTTATTGTTTTGAGGAGGGGAGGGGCAGAGGGAGAGGGAGGGAGATAATCCCTAGCAGGCTTTGCCAATGTCAGCACAGAGCCAGATGTGGGGCTCGACTCAACAAACCATGAGATCATGACATGAACTGAAATCAAGAGTTGGATGCTCAACCGACTGACCCACCCAAGTACCCTCAACCTTCTTGAGGAAGTTGGAGGAGTTTCTGAGAAGGCCAAATTTACCTTGAAATTCATCAATTATTCTTCTCTTGCGTACAATGTAACTGATGCTTTCAAATATAGAATTACCATCTAATTTTCAAAAGGGTCCTATAAATCTCAGCAGGGAGGGCTTACCCCTTGTCCCTCAACAGCACCTTCCTGCATGGCCATTTGCAATAACCTGTATAATCTCAGTAGGCTGAGAATTTTCCCCTACTTTTTTAGGTGCATGGTCAAAATCATGGCTACCCACCACCTGATGTGAACAGGTGCCATTAAGTACAGTATGAAAACATTTTCCCTGGGACAGATACAGACAAGATTCACTGGAAGAACAGTGAATCCTTTTTCCTTTTTATTGAAACTTAGCATGTCTGCCAAGATGAGTTTTTGGGAATTGAGCCTCAGCAGACATTTGCTTACACAGTGGTTTCCTGGGTCCTTCCTCATCTACCACCTAGGCAGGAGGCTTTGGTTCTTGACCACGTAGTTAAGTTCACTCATCAGTGTACAGATTCAATGACCACATTCAAATAAGACACTTCATTAAAATTCTACTGCAAATATCAAGTTGTTTCCAAAAAAGTCTTCTCCAGCCTCAGAGTTACAAACAAAGGCCCTGGAGATTCGATGTCAAATCAGAGTGTACTTACCAGCTGATTTGGCAGCAAACCTTTTAGAGTGAGGTGGAGGCACCCAGGGGAGATGAGGAGGTGTCTAGACCTGTCAGAACTACACAGAAGGGCAGTTGCTGTCAGAGGGGGGCCAGGGTGCGGGATGGGAGCTGCAGGGAGTTGGAATGCTCTAAATCAGGGGAGGGTGAGGCCTGAGAGCTGTCTGTTCCCCCAGGAGCAGGGTGCAGCCTCCAGGGGATGACCCAGGAGAGAGCTGGCCTGAAGGTCAGGTCTAGGTATGGACATGAGGGCCCACTGGGGAAGTCCCAGGGGAGGGAGCCGTCATGCAGGAAAGTGCCGGGAGTGGACATTTGTGCTGAGACCAGGGCAGAGCCAGCTGTCAGGGGGACCCTGGGGCGAGGGGCCAGGAGATCCTAGGGTCATGAACCCCGGGGACAATCCCCAAATTGTGCCCGATTCTCATTTTTATCTTTCTTTTGGCCACAGGGTCCTTCTTTCATTGCCTGAGAGACATCATGGCATAGCGAGAAGAGAAGGTAATCAAGGAACAGGTAGGCCTCAGGCTGGGAGGAGTGGCACAGTGTGGGCTCCAGAGCAATCAGACTGAGCTCTATTCCTGGTTCTGTCATTTCACCAGCCATATGAACTTGGGAATATTTCAAGTTCTTCGTCTGCCAAGTGTTGGATAAGCCCTGTCCTGCAGGAGTGCTAGAACATATGTAATGTATGTGAAGTATCTCGCACACTGACTGGCAAATACTGGGTCTTTAATAAATGGTAGTTATTATTATGCTTGTTTTCACACCAGAAGAAACTTCCCTCATCTCTGGGAATTTTTTTGTTTTTGTTCAGGAGATTTCAGAGACTGTAGTACTCTAGGACAAAGAAAACCACGTCGGCCTAACTGCTGCTTAGCAAAATTTCCCCATTATAGAGTATGTTCTGTAATTTGGATGCAGGGATTTCACCGGGATTCAACCCAAAGCTTGTATAATTTATGTCAAGCACCAAGAATTCCCTTCCCTCCCAACTGCCCTCCCAACAAAAACAATGCTATTTTCATTTGCCTCCTATTTTGACATTTTGTCAAGTTACATTCAACATAACCTATTTAGCAGAGTAGGGTCTGGTTCCCCCAGGTCAAAGAGTGCCAGCACAGCGCTTCTTGGCATCCTGCTAAGGGAATATCGCCCTTATCTCTGAGAAATTCCCAAAGACAACATTCACAAAACACTGTGCGCACCAAGCTTACCCGCACCTGCACAAAAGCACCAACCACGTTCTAGTCCTTCCCCAGTTGGTGATGCTCTGTGGTTTACCTACAATCTCAAAGTAACTGTTAAGGACAGTGTCTCACTCCAGAGTTGTCTCTCAACCCTGAGGCCCCCCATCTGAAGGTCTGGCCCCTGCTCATGACAATCACAGCCCCAACTAGCCCAGCAAGCAGCTCACTTAAAATTACTTTGCGGCAAGGAATCTCCAAAGCCCCAGACCCCAAAGTGTCCTGGCTCAGAGAATTTACACTTTAGTACTTTCACCTGACCCCCTTCCTCATTGTTTTTTTTTTTTAACTTGTCTTTTACGTATTAGAATTCATCACACCATCTTCCTTATATAGTAACTGCCGTTAAAAATCTATGCCAGGTGCAGGGTCTTCTTTATTGTCAGCATCATCGCTACTAATATATAACCTTCCAAAGAGCAGACACTCAATTAGTGGTGAGAATAAACTGGGCACTGAGTGAGGAACGTAATTTATTAATCTTTAATTTTCTCTGAACTCTTCAATAAATTAAGGACATTGAGGTATATATCCTTGAATTTCACAAAGAGACAGACAAAAATAAGACAAACCAAGATGTAACTACATTTTACTTTGTTTCTATTTTAAAACTAGAGCTATATTTTTGCTGGTTCTTTCCTATTTCTGAAAAAAATCCCCATTCCAAAGCCATATTATCTTGTTCTGGAACTCAAAGAAGACACAAGGATTTTCAAGCTACATTACACAATACCAAAACTTACTCTTAAATCTTATTCTTAAACCTTACTCTTAAACCTGATAAACGGCAATATGTGATCCATGTCATTTATAAACTTGGATTCTGAATCTTACTAGATTCTTCTGAAACATTCTCTTTAAACATTCTTTTAAAACATTTGTAAGCTACTCAATGCACAACAGGAAAACAAAGAAGATATATTATGGTCTCTCCAACCCCACCTTAACCTCTCACTACTTAAAAGGTTGGCAGACCTCATCAAACACAAAGCGAAGAATCTGCCTCAGCCCTCTCTAAGGAGCAGCAGAGACGCCAGATGCGGCCCGGACTCGGGCTCTCTCTTCCTCATCTCGCAGAGCCTCTTCATAATGGTACGGGAAGGCACTGGGGACGGTGTCGTGGACCTTGGCCAAAAACTCGAGGATCTTCATCTTGCTGGTTTCAGCATGGGCTCTCTGGCCCCACAGGAACTCATAGCGTGGAGGATTGCTGTCGGGCACCTGGCGGTACTCCAGGTACTTTTCCTGCACCAAATCTTGGGTGATGAGCTTCCTGGCATCCCCGAAGATTGAATGCTTCCTTCCATCATAGACGCCCAAGATATTCAGGAATTCCCAGACGTCTTCTTCAGAGGCTTGATTGCCACTCAAGAAGATGACACCCAAGAGAGGAATGAGCAGCCCGCTCTTAGGTAAGCCAGAGCCAATGCTCACACTGCCGTCATCGGTGGTATCTAGGATGCTGACGAGGGTGTAGGCGAGACCGTTGGGCTTGACTTCCTTTAACTCGAGGCCAAACACCAGCTCCAAGTGCTCAGAAGCTCTCTTGAGGATCTCAGGGAAGTGCTCCTTATACCTTCTGGTGACAATCTTCAGCATACTTGCCCTCATAATGGGCTCTTTCATGTTATGCTTCTCTAGCAGGAATTCCATCAGCATCCCCACCTTCCTGGTTAGAGGATCGTTTTGAGCTTTCGCAGCAGAAGTTGAGGCCTGGGACGTATTTTTACTTTCCTTAACCTGGCTCTTGGCACCTGCCTTAGATCTTCGCCGTGAAACACGCCCAGCACGCTTGGCGGTGGCTTGGCCTTTTTGAGGCTCCTGGGAAGTGCCAGCAGCAGGGGAGCTCAGGGGAGCAGCCCCAGAAACAGGAGAGGAGGTGGACTCTCCAACCTCTGTTGCGGCAGCCTGAGCACCCTCAAGACCCTGCGATCCACTCCGGGCCTGGCGGCGTTTCTCGCGGGCACGGAGCTTACTCTTATGGCCCCGCGGCATGGCTGGCTCAGGGACAGCAGGCAGTGTGGGCAGGAGCTACCGACACCTGGAGCAGGGAAGATGAGAGTGTGAGCCCCTCAGCAGGGAGAGAGCACCTCTGCAGGTTTTCTGAGAGGCACGGCTCTGGGACCCCCCAGGGCTCTTGCACTCGGTCAGCCTGTCCCCTGTGAACCCAGTGGAGGAAGCCAGATTAAGTGAGCCCCAGGTTCCAGCTTGCCAGCCCTGCCTGTGGCTCACTGAGGTGACAAGTGGGACTGGTAGCATGTACCTTCTCTGTGTTCAAGAATAATCCATGATTATCACATCAACTCTTGGTAGGGCCCAGGACCTCTTTCCTGTGCTTCCATGAAATTGACACGTCGAAGCTCCCTGGGACCCACAAGCAGGAACTGAGAAGTGCTGACAGCACTGTGGGGCCCTCTCGCTGCGGGACTTGTTGGTCCTCAGTCCTCACTCAGTCCTCATCTTTTCTACGCCTAGAGTTTGGGACCCTCCCTTCTATTGACAGGTGTTACACCCTCAACACAGGATCTCACCTCCCTTAGACTTGATGCAAAGAAATGAGAAGGAGTCTCAGCCTAATAATCCAGCTTTGGGCCTTCAGGGGCTGAGCATGGGGACTTGGAAAGATTCTGTTCCCTCTACTCGGTGGAGGGCAGTGGTGGTGGTAGCTTCAGCTGTCCTCACTTTGCCTCTTGGGAGGATCTGGGACTCCCCCTCTCATGACCTGAGGAATTCTCCTCATAATAAAGTCCACAAGTCACTGAGACCCAGTGGTAGAAGTGAGGGGTGGCCGTATTTGGCCACAGTGCCCATAGTCTCTAGAGGCTGAAAGTTATAGCAGGTGGGCTGAGGCCCTATTATGTGTAGTCCTCACTTTTTACTCAAAGACGGCCTGGGATTCTTCCTGCTACTGACCCATCAGATCAATCTTCTCACTCCCCTGTTATCTCTGAGTGGGACCTGATGGGCACCTCTAATGAACAACTATTCCTGGAGACTCCTGGGACTGACGAGAAGGAGAGAGATCACTGGGGGGGGGGGGG